GGGGCTCGGGGGTGGGGAAGGTGGTGGAGAAGAGGAGGAAGAACATCCATCATGGAGAAGGTGGGGCTGGAGAAGGCTGGGGGAGGAGGAACAAAGAGGGGGAGTTGGGGGGCACCCAGGAGGAAGGAGGAGAAGGGTCTCAAGGTCTTCCATCCCTCTTGGAAGATCTTCTCTGGACCCTGGGGGGTGTTTAAACCCCATTTAGGGTTTGAGGCACCTTTTTTGAGCGCCCCCCATTGGTAGGTCCGGCCACCCCCCACCGTGCCCCCCAACCTCTGCCCCCCAAAATGACACCAAACCCAAAATTGAGCTTCCAGCTCCCTCTGGAGACCTTTCCGTTGATGACACACCGCTCTAATTGTAATAAAAACCCCCCAAAATGACACCAAACCCACCTTGAAGATCCAAGCCAGGTCCATCCATGACGTCAAATCAAATTTTCAACCACTTTCACCCTCAGGGTTGAGTTTTGAAGGAGATGGACCCGCTGAAGAACCTCCTGGTTCCCTTGAAGAACCTCAAAAAGGTTCCCTTGAAGAACCTCAAAACCTCCTCCTTGGGGTTTTGGGGCTTTTTAAGACCAATTTGGGCGTCGTTTGGACCTTCCAGGTGATGCTTTGCCCATTTCTTGGTGTCTCCCTGGGCTTATCCCCCCACGACACCCCTCTTTTCTCCACCCTGGGAGAGGCAAAGGTCCTCCTGCCTCCCAAAACTGAGCCTCCAGCTCCCTCTTGAGACCTCTCCGTTGATGACACACCGCTCTAATTGTAATTAAATCCCCCAAAATGACACCAAACCCAACTTTAAGATCCAAGCCAGGTCCATCCATGACGTCAAATCAAATTTTCAACCACTTTCACCCTCAGGGTTGAGGTTTGAGGGAGATGGACCTGCTGAAGAACCTCATGGTTCCCTTGAAGAACCTCAAAAAGGTTCCCTTGAAGAACCTCAAAACCTCCTCCTTGGGGTTTTGGTGCTTTTTAAGACCAATTTGGGCGTCGTTTGGACCTTCCAGGTGATGCTTTGCCCGTTTCTCGGTGTCTCCCTGGGCTTATCCCCCCACGACACCCCTCTTTTCTCCACCCTGGGAGAGGCAAAGGTCCTCCTGCCTCCCAAAATTGAGCCTCCAGCTCCCTCTGGAGACCTTTCCGTTGATGACACACCGCTCTAATTGCAATTAAACCCCCCCAAAATGACACCAAACCCACCTTGAAGATCTGAACCAGCTCCATCCATGAAGTCAAATCAACTTTTCAGCCATTTTTGCCCTTTGAGGTTGAGGTTTGAGGGAGATGGACCTGCTGAAGAACCTCATGGTTCCCTTGAAGAACCTCAAAAAGGTTCCCTTGAAGAACCTCAAAACCTCCTCCTTGGTTTTGGAGATGTTTTTCCGGGCAAAGAGCTGGTGACCTCTGGGAGGTGACTCCCATCGTGAGACTCCTGTAGGTCATGGGGGCTCGATGGTCTTCAAGGTCCCCCTTCCAACCCATTTTGGGGTGAGAAATGGGAGATCCCGTGCAGGGAAGTGGGGTTTTTGGCAGCGTTGGGTCAACGGTTGGGCTCGTTGGTCTTCAAGGTCCCTCCCAACCCATTTTGGGGTGAGAAATGGGAGATCCCGTCCAGGGACGTGGGGGTTTTTGGAAGTGTTGGGTCAACGGTTGGGCTCGTTGGTCTTCAAGGTCCCTTCCAACCCATTTTGGGGTGAGAAATGGGAGATCCCGTCCAAGGACATGGGGTTTTTGGCAGCGTTGGGTCAACGGTTGGGCTCGTTGGTCTTCAAGGTCCCTTCCAACCCATTTTGGGGTGAGAAATGGGAGATCCCGTCCAAGGACATGGGGTTTTTGGCAGCGTTGGGTCAACGGTTGGGCTCGTTGGTCTTCAAGGTCCCTTCCAACCCATTTTGGGGTGAGAAATGGGAGATCCCGTCCAAGGACATGGGGTTTTTGGCAGCGTTGGGTCAACGGTTGGGCTCGTTGGTCTTCAAGGTCCCTTCCAACCCATTTTGGGGTGAGAAATGGGAGATCCCGTCCAAGGACATGGGGTTTTTGGCAGCGTTGGGTCAACGGTTGGGCTCGTTGGTCTTCAAGGTCCCTTCCAACCCATTTTGGGGTGAGAAATGGGAGATCCCGTCCAAGGACATGGGGTTTTTGGCAGCGTTGGGTCAACGGTTGGGCTCGTTGGTCTTCAAGGTCCCTTCCAACCCATTTTGGGGTGAGAAATGGGAGATCCCGTCCAAGGACATGGGGTTTTTGGCAGCGTTGGGTCAACGGTTGGGCTCGTTGGTCTTCAAGGTCCCTTCCAACCCATTTTGGGGTGAGAAATGGGAGATCCCGTCCAAGGACATGGGGTTTTTGGCAGCGTTGGGTCAACGGTTGGGCTCGTTGGTCTTCAAGGTCCCTTCCAACCCATTTTGGGGTGAGAAATGGGAGATCCCGTCCAAGGACATGGGGTTTTTGGCAGCGTTGGGTCAACGGTTGGGCTCGTTGGTCTTCAAGGTCCCTTCCAACCCATTTTGGGGTGAGAAATGGGAGATCCCGTCCAAGGACATGGGGTTTTTGGCAGCGTTGGGTCAACGGTTGGGCTCGTTGGTCTTCAAGGTCCCTTCCAACCCATTTTGGGGTGAGAAATGGGAGATCCCGTCCAAGGACATGGGGTTTTTGGCAGCGTTGGGTCAACGGTTGGGCTCGTTGGTCTTCAAGGTCCCTTCCAACCCATTTTGGGGTGAGAAATGGGAGATCCCGTCCAAGGACATGGGGTTTTTGGCAGCGTTGGGTCAACGGTTGGGCTCGTTGGTCTTCAAGGTCCCTTCCAACCCATTTTGGGGTGAGAAATGGGAGATCCCGTCCAAGGACATGGGGTTTTTGGCAGCGTTGGGTCAACGGTTGGGCTCGTTGGTCTTCAAGGTCCCTTCCAACCCATTTTGGGGTGAGAAATGGGAGATCCCGTCCAAGGACATGGGGTTTTTGGCAGCGTTGGGTCAACGGTTGGGCTCGTTGGTCTTCAAGGTCCCTTCCAACCCATTTTGGGGTGAGAAATGGGAGATCCCGTCCAAGGACATGGGGTTTTTGGCAGCGTTGGGTCAACGGTTGGGCTCGTTGGTCTTCAAGGTCCCTTCCAACCCATTTTGGGGTGAGAAATGGGAGATCCCGTCCAAGGACATGGGGTTTTTGGCAGCGTTGGGTCAACGGTTGGGCTCGTTGGTCTTCAAGGTCCCTTCCAACCCATTTTGGGGTGAGAAATGGGAGATCCCGTCCAAGGACATGGGGTTTTTGGCAGCGTTGGGTCAACGGTTGGGCTCGTTGGTCTTCAAGGTCCCTTCCAACCCATTTTGGGGTGAGAAATGGGAGATCCCGTCCAAGGACATGGGGTTTTTGGCAGCGTTGGGTCAACGGTTGGGCTCGTTGGTCTTCAAGGTCCCTTCCAACCCATTTTGGGGTGAGAAATGGGAGATCCCGTCCAAGGACATGGGGTTTTTGGCAGCGTTGGGTCAACGGTTGGGCTCGTTGGTCTTCAAGGTCCCTTCCAACCCATTTTGGGGTGAGAAATGGGAGATCCCGTCCAAGGACATGGGGTTTTTGGCAGCGTTGGGTCAACGGTTGGGCTCGTTGGTCTTCAAGGTCCCTTCCAACCCATTTTGGGGTGAGAAATGGGAGATCCCGTCCAAGGACATGGGGTTTTTGGCAGCGTTGGGTCAACGGTTGGGCTCGTTGGTCTTCAAGGTCCCTTCCAACCCATTTTGGGGTGAGAAATGGGAGATCCCGTCCAAGGACATGGGGTTTTTGGCAGCGTTGGGTCAACGGTTGGGCTCGTTGGTCTTCATGGTCCCCCTTCCAACCCCTTTTGGGGTGAGAAATGGGAGATCCCGTGCAGGGAAGTGGGGTTTTTGGCAGCGTTGGGTCAACGGTTGGGCTCGTTGGTCTTCAAGGTTCCTTCCAACCCATTTTGGGGTGAGAAATGGGGGATCCCGTCCAAGGACATGGGGTTTTTGGCAGCGTTGGGTCAATAGTTGGGCTTGATGGTCTTCAAGGTCCCTCCCAACCCATTTTGGGGTGAGAAATGGGGGATCCCGTCCAAGGACGTGGGGTTTTTGGCAGCGTTGGGTCAACGGTTGGGTTCGTTGGTCTTCAAGGTCCCTTCCAACCCATTTTGGGGTGAGAAATGGGAGATCCCGTGCAGGGACGTGGGAGTTTTTGGCAGCGTTGGGTCAACGGTTGGGCTCGATGGTCTTCAAGGTTCCCCTTCCAACCCAGATTTTATGATTCTACAAGATTTTGGTGGATCGGGAGGGGGCTCGTTGCCACAACTGGGGGCATTTATGGTTGGCAACCACCCAACTCCTGAAATCTCACCTTTTTTCCCCAAAAAAAAACCGCAGAGGCTGAGGGTCGAAGGAAGCTCTTCCCCGGAAAGGTGGGATTTTGGGTGAAGAAGAACCCGATTGGGAGCAGATCGAGGGAGGGGAAGGGCCGTTTCACTCACAAGGTGGAAGAAAAATCCTTCTCCTAAAACGGGGAAGAAAAAGGCAAATTGAAGAGCGAAAAAACCGACATCCTGTTTAAAAAAGAGAACCGAAAGTGGCCAGAAAAAGTATTTATAGTCGCGCGTCCGCTGGCGGGAGGGCGGTTTGGGCCGAGAAATCATAATTTCAGATCATTATTTAAATATTCCTCTTCAAAAAAAAGAAGGAGGAAACCGGCGGCGAAGGAGAATCTCCAAGAAAGGAGATTTTTTTAATTAACTTTTTTTGGGGGTTGATGGAGAAGCTGCAGGTGGGTCTCCACCAAGCCAGGAAATGCTGAAGGCTGTTTATTTTTTGGGGTTGAATCTCTCAAATCTTTTAATTTCCCCGCGGAGGGAGGAAGGAGGGGGGAGGGGTTTCTCTCGTCTTCTCTACAAACTCTTGGGTGAGGGGGGGCTGTTTTTTGGGGGAAAAAGAAGGAGAAACCGCACCTCCCTCGGGGCAAGGAGCCACCTGCAGGGGAGAAAAAAGGAAAAAAAGAAAGAAAAAAAGAAAGAAAGAAAGAAAGAAAGAAAGAAAGAAAGAAAGAAAGAAAGAAAGAAAGAAAGAAAGAAAGAAAGAAAGAAAGAAAGAAAGAAAGAAAGAAAGAAAGAAAGAAAGAAAGAAAGAAAGAAAGAAAGAAAGAAAGAAAGAAAGAAAGAAAGAAAGAAAGAAAGAAAGAAAGAAAGAAAGAAAGAAAGAAAGAAAGAAAGAAAGAAAGAAAGAAAGAAAGAAAGAAAGAAAGAAAGAAAGAAAGAAAGAAAGAAAGAAAGAAAGAAAGAAAGAAAGAAAGAAAGAAAGAAAGAAAGAAAGAAAGAAAGAAAGAAAGAAAGAAAGAAAGAAAGAAAGAAAGAAAGAAAGAAAGAAAGAAAGAAAGAAAGAAAGAAAGAAAGAAAGAAAGAAAGAAAGAAAGAAAGAAAGAAAGAAAGAAAGAAAGAAAGAAAGAAAGAAAGAAAGAAAGAAAGAAAGAAAGAAAGAAAGAAAGAAAGAAAGAAAGAAAGAAAGAAAGAAAGAAAGAAAGAAAGAAAGAAAGAAAGAAAGAAAGAAAGAAAGAAAGAAAGAAAGAAAGAAAGAAAGAAAGAAAGAAAGAAAGAAAGAAAGAAAGAAAGAAAGAAAGAAAGAAAGAAAGAAAGAAAGAAAGAAAGAAAGAAAGAAAGAAAGAAAGAAAGAAAGAAAGAAAGAAAGAAAGAAAGAAAGAAAGAAAGAAAGAAAGAAAGAAAGAAAGAAAGAAAGAAAGAAAGAAAGAAAGAAAGAAAGAAAGAAAGAAAGAAAGAAAGAAAGAAAGAAAGAAAGAAAGAAAGAAAGAAAGAAAGAAAGAAAGAAAGAAAGAAAGAAAGAAAGAAAGAAAGAAAGAAAGAAAGAAAGAAAGAAAGACCCCCCCCCCCCCCCCCGTCAGCCAACATGGCGGCCGAAAGCTTCCGTGATGAGGCCTCCTGCTCCCTCTGCTTGGGCTTCTTCCAGGACCCCGTCTCCATCCACTGCGGCCACAACTTCTGCCGGGGTTGCATCACCCGGAGGTGGGAGGAGGCCCAGGAGAACTTCCCTTGCCCCAACTGCCAAGAGACGGCCCCCCAAAAAAACCTCCGGCCCAACCGGGAGTTGGCCAAACTCATCGAGATCGCCAAGAGGTTGAGTTTGAAGGTGGTGGCCCGGGCCGGGGTTGGGGCCGGTGAGGAGGAGGAGGAGGAGGAGGAGAAGAGGAAGAGGAGAAGGAGAAGGAGGAAGAGGAGGAGGAGGAGGAAGAGGAGGAGGAGGAGGAAGAGGAGGAGGAGGAGGAAGAGGAGGAGGAGGAGGAAGAGGAGGAGGAGGAGGAAGAGGAGGAGGAGGAGGAAGAGGAGGAGGAGGAGGAAGAGGAGGAGGAGGAGGAAGAGGAGGAGGAGGAGGAAGAGGAGGAGGAGGAGGAAGAGGAGGAGGAGGAGGAAGAGGAGGAGGAGGAGGAAGAGGAGGAGGAGGAGGAAGAGGAGGAGGAGGAGGAAGAGGAGGAGGAGGAGGAAGAGGAGGAGGAGGAGGAGAAGAAGAAGAAGCTCTGCCAGAAGCACCAGGAAGCCCTGAAGCTCTTCTGCGAGGAGGACGGGACCCCCATCTGCTTGGTTTGCAGAGAGTCCCAAGCCCACCGGGCCCACCCCGTGGTCCCCATCGAGGAGGCGGCGGAGGAGGAGAAGG